CCCTGCCTGTGGCCCGCCCTCACTTGCTGACAGGGTGGGTCTTGAAGAGGCTGATGTCCCCCAGAATGAGGAGGAATGAGAGCGCCTCCTTGCCCACGCGCCCTTCCAGCCAAGGCAGGGGGGCACATCATCTGGGCTAAGTCTGGGGGGGATTTCAAGCTGGACTTTGGGCTCTGTTGCTTTAAGTGGGGGTGGCCCTGCTTCTTTGGGCTCCAGCAACAGGAGTCTGAGGTGGGGTATGCCTGTTGCCCACCTGTTCTGCAGCCACTACAGGCTGGGTAGGTTCATCGTCAGTTCAGGCAGCTTGAAAGGATTTTGGGGCCGGTGGTGTCACCCCCACAGTTTAGGGAAAAACAAGCCACAGGAGGCAGCAACCGGGGACCCTCTGCGAATTCTTACACACTCGCCTCTCCTAGCTGTTCGCTGCTCTCCACCACACGTCTTCTGCCTCCACACTGTCCTCTGTGACACCCTGGCCCTCTATAAGCTCCGCCTCTCAGCTCAGGTGCGCCCACTTACGCAGACCCACACCATGCTCCAGGTGTTCCCCATCTGGCAATGCGAGCCCCGGGCCCACGCCCCCTGCATTCAAGGCTGCAGGTGGTAGCCACAGAGGCTAATGGCGCAAAAGCCTGAACAATCTTCATTTACCCTATATCACCTTTGAAAAATTGCAAAGAAATTGATACTAAATGCTGGCTTCCATTCTGCTTGGGTTGGAGGAAGGGGAGGTGTTTACAGGGCCAAGTTGAGAGAAAGGAAGACTTCCTAATAGTTCCTTCTACGTTTCCCCCATTTCCACTGTGGTAATTATTCAGATGAACAAACCAACTCTTTGCAGTTGTGACCTTCCACGTGTGCATAAATACTGTGATTCCGTGGGACATTCATTGCCAAGCAGGGACATTGAACTTGGTCTCTGTGGGCCATGCCCCACTCTGAAAAATGCATATCCCCTCCCCACCCTAATTTGATGCAGGAACCTGGCAATTGACGCTTAATAAAGTCCCATCAGCAAGCATCAAAGGGCTGTCCAAAAAATACTAAGCAATACTCATCCGTTAAAAAACAGTAAAGGCAGACTTTATTGTGCGTGGGGGATGGGGAGGG